GCTGGCGCACGGTCAGGATGGTACCACCTCTGCCTCAGTCTGAGCCAGGAAAAACCCTGATATAGAGCAAAGTTTTTAAACAGATTCATGATCCAACAAGTTAAAAAGTTCAGATAATGAGACCCTTGGTTTCAAACAACATAATGTAAACTAGGAAAATATGTCATTAATTAAGGTAACGTTATTTCATAAACAGTTGTCAGGGTTTCCCTTACATAGGCGTAGCCGTGGCGGCCCGCCACGGCTGAAATCCCACCGCCACGCGTACAAGATCCCAAGTTTTATTTATTTGTTTTTTTTAGCAGTTTCACGAGGAAGCAGCGGGAACTACTATGTTGTTGCTTGTGATCACAGCCGGCAGGCAGCAAGGAGGAGCAGGCAGGGCAGGGTGAAGTTACAGCATAAAGGTAGCAGTGGATATAATGCTTTTTGGTTTACATGTTTCAATAGCATTAAGATAAATGAGCCTTGACGATCTTGACAGGGTTTCCTCTCCCCACCAGGATAAGCATCACTTATTCATGTAAAATTTTTTTATTTTTTCATGTCTGACTTTAACCGCATCTAATACTGTATTACGGCGTGAGCGCAACAGCGACAACTTAAGATCGATGTGTGAGCAGCCTGAGAGGTCGGGTGTTTCATCTGAACCCTTCAAACCTCCAGCAGGCTACGCTGCACTATTGACGTGCTAGCGCGCGGCGCTAACAACTTAGCGACGTGACATGTCTCGGAGAAAGCGTAAAAACACGTTGGACGCTTCTTCTGAAGTGGGAAAATAACACCTCTTCTTAAGCAGAGCACGACGTCGCCTCGACTGAGCTCGATAACATTGACCCAGCACAGCCACTGGGTCGTTGGAGCTGCCCCGTGACTGCCTGATGGAAAACCAGCGGGTTTCATCAGGCTCGTAAAGTTTGTTTTTGCTGGGGACCCCCTGTATTTTACCGCTCCCTCCTGCAGTCTTCCCCTATTAACATTTAAAATGATTCTGTAAATTCCGTGTATCAATAGAAAAAATCTCTGCCTCTGCCAGCTGCAGTAAATGTAGTCTCCAAATAATAAATAAGAGGTGCATTCATCTGTGGATCTCCTTTGATCCGCATTAGTGATATTCTCAGCACCAAAACAGTGAAGCAAAGAAACAGATTCCTGAGTTTGTTATAATTTTATTTATTAGGTGCATCTAACCTGTTCTATTTTTCTCTGAAATGAGATCAAATCAGTGCTTCTATGGGTTGTCTCCACTCTGCACTAGAAAATAGGGCTGGGCGAAATGGCCCAAAAATAAAATCTCCGATCTTATTTGCTTTAATTCGATTTCCGATTTTTTCCGATTAACACCCCCCCCAACCCCCCCCGAAAAGGACACCAAGAAGTACAAACAGCAGACCACTTGAAGCTACTTTTGCTTTTATTTAATCAAAAGCAAAATGTGTAATGCTCTTCAGGGATGAATAGTGAATAACTGAAAACCCTCTTGGAATCAAAGTGCCAGGTGTATTTTGAGTCATACTCTGTTGTCTCGACTGAAATGAGACAAACATTCCCATTAGAGTAACACCATTTACTCAAACATTAACAATACATTCAAATACAGGTAAAACTAAACCAACCCAAACAGTGCGACAACTAACAGGGATAAATGCATCTTACTTTTCAATCCAAAAACAGAAAAAAAATTATCTGTCTTTAACTTGCATTTACGGTAAATGATTTACTTTGCATATAATTTTAAATAAAAACATAAGTGCAAAACTTCTTTCTTGGGTAAAATACTAATGTAAACAAAAATTTAGAGTACAAAAATTGCAAAATAAATAATAGTCAACTCCAACTGAAACCGATAAAGTGCCAACTTTGGTTAAAAAAAATAACTTTAACAAACGATTTGTGTCCCTGAATGTAGAAACTGGAGAGAAGAATCACATTTTGGTTGAGCTGCTGAACATGAGATCTGTGCTTAAGTTTCGGTCAATAACATTTATACATTTTTGGCAAGGAAAGTCAGCCTGTCCACTGCCTCTGGCTTGAGGCAAGCTCGGCTGCATGTGACAACTCCCCCTGCCACACTGAATAGCCTCTCAGATGGGGCACTTGTTGCAGGGATACTGAGGTATTTCTTGGCCAGGTGACTGAGCCTTAAGAAGTTTGATTTGTTGCTCTTCCACCATTGCAGTGGATCAGTGTCAGGATCTACCTCTGGCATAAGCAGATAAGTTGCAAGTTCAGTCTCTATTTTAGCCTCTTCCGACTGGTCAGGGCCAGGGGTTGGCACACTCTTCTTGAAGAAAGCTGCTAAGTTCTTTTTCCTCTTGGGATTTGGCTGAGGCCTTGCCTCTTGGTCCACATGCACAACTGGACCAGGCTGTGGTGTGCTTTTGTCAGTGGTGAAAGACAGAAGTTCACTGACAGCTCTTCTTTTGATTTGCTCCACCTTGTCTGGGTCGATGTAGGATGTCCGGAATCTTGGATCCATCAGAGAGGCCATGTCCAGGAGTTCATCTTTGACAGGATCGCTGTATTTGTTAACAAGGTATCCCAGTATGTTGCTTTTGATTGTTTTGGTAAGCTCTGTGTCGTTGTCCTCAGGCTGCAAAAGACTTGTTTTGAACAGATGGATAACAGGCTTGATGTATGAGACACTAACATACATTTCCCCTGATAAAGCATCTGTAAAATCTTGGAGTGCTTTAACCGCCTTGTTTACTGACTCCAAAACCTCGATGTCTTGCCAAGAGGGCACGAGATGGCGGCTTTTAACTTCAGACCCCAGGACACGGGCAATAGCCTTCTCCTGTTCCAGGAATCGCTCGATCAGCTTTTGGCGGGAGCCCCACCTGGTTGGAGATTCTACTATAATCTGATGAGGGGGGAGGCCCAGCTCTGACTGAGCTAAACCCAGCTCTCTTCTTTTCTTCCAACTGTAGGAAAAAGCAGCAACTATCTTCTTGCAAACTCCAGTGGCTCGGTCTATGCGGGGATCCTTAACACCATTCTCTGTATGATAAAGAATAAAACACAAAGACATACGTCAGTATTGGGGACTTGAATAAACAACTACATCCACCTAAAAATGATTTCTTCTGTATGTCTTCTTATGTATGAACATAGTAACTCCTGCAGTTGTTACACTGAATATATGTTTGGTGTATATTATTTTTATGTTTTAATCCATGGGCAGAACTTTGCAGCAGCACAGTGATAAATAAGCACAAATAATATTAACATATTTAGAAGAAAGAGTATTCAAAAGGACACATGATTAATATGAGCAGAATTCTGTGCCATTAGTAACTGAATTTGAATTACTCCAGGTTGAAATACAATTTTCAGTTTCAGAAGCAAATTTAAATAAGCTAAACTAAACCAGAGGGGAGAGGGGTGAAAGTGAGCGTTTGGAGGCTCAATTTGCAGTAGAATAAAATACATTTTCAAACCAAATTAATCCATTTTCAAAATACAAAACTCAATTTCAATTTAATGACAATCATTTCCAAACTGAACTTTGAACTTTACCCTCTCAACAGGAAATGTTTATTCAGCTTTCCATTGTCAAACTGGTAGCATTTATGTTTACCTGCCGCTCCTGCAGTGTCACACTCTAAAACCTCCGGGCGGAACACAAACAATATTGCAAGTTCCATTGCTACAGTATTGAAATACGAGCGTCATCTAGCTTGGCTGTGGTTTGATGTGCTCTGTCGAAATGTAATATTTTATTTTACTTATTGTCAGACTTACCGATAGCGTTGTGTAGTTTGTGTCCAAAGCACTTGAGGTTTGGCCATCCGTTCACTTTCAGGGCTTAAATCATGTTGGTCCCGCTGTCAGTCATCATGCAGGAGAGACGATTCTCAGACAGGTTCCAGCAGTCAAGAGCGTCTCTCAGTCCTTTGGCGATAAGTTCACCGGTGTGGTCCTCGGGAAAGTATGACGTTTGGAGGGAAATACTACGTAAATCCCACGCGTTGTTAATGAAATGCACCGTTAAACTCATATACGGCTGCATTGTTCGACTGCTCCACATGTCGGTTGTTGCTGAAAAAAAGGACAGCTCCTCCAGTTCTCTGCCAACCTTTTTGCGTGTTTCTGTACAGCTGCGGCAAGACTACTTCACTGAAATACTTTCGGCTGGGTAGCTCATACCTTTATAAATTTTCATCAAATTTATAAACCTCGTCTTCTCCACGGTATATATGGGTACCATGTCTTTTGCTATGTACAAAGCGACCGCGTCGGTGATTGTAGTCCACCGGGCCCCTTTCTTGTCATATGCGGTCCCCTGTGCGAACGATTCGGCTACAGTTAGCTGTTTTTTAGCCACCGGTTCTTGGTCACTGCGGCTCTGTTCGTCTCGGAGAGACTGGCATTTTTCGTGTTCGGCTTGATGCCTCTGTTTAAGGTGTTGAAACAAGTTAGTGGTGCTGCTGCCTTTGACTGCGACGGGTTTTAGACAAAGGTTGCAGCGTGGGGTCTCTTGTTTTATGTCTGTTGCAGCAAACCCATACCAGTTCCAAACAACAGATGATTTTATCCCTTTCTTCGGAACAAACTTCCCACTCTCACCGCCGTCACTGGTCGCCATGTGGTCGCTTGCTGTCTGTTGTTTTGTGTGTTATCGCTCGCTCGTGGGTGAGGAACCTGATGCTACAGGACCTCCGGAGGGCCAAAAAGCACCATTACAAAAAACTCGATTTACTTACTTTATGAATCGCCCGCAAAAAATAATTCGAATTAATTCATTTGATCGATTTTTCGTCCAGCCCTACCACTTTTACAAGTGGACGTTTTTGTCCTCTAATGACTCTTGTATGAAAATTAAAGTGAAGCCTGAGGGTTAAGGCTCATATGATTTATAGAGGCTCTAAGTTCAGTTTCCAATTGTAAATACATTTCATTCTACTGTCAGTTTAAAGAAATAATACAACTGTTATATGTGTGAAAACACAGTTGCAGCTGTCTGTAATTCACATAATATGTTTCTGTGTTTCCTACAGATTTTCAACAGGTGGTTCTGGTTAAATAAGAAGCTTCAGAAGAACAGAGTGCTCGTGTCAACCACCAGCACCTAGATTTTCTCCACATAAAGGAGGAACAGGAGAAACTCTGGTCTAGTATGGAGGGAGAGCATCTCCATTTGAATAAGGAGACTGATGCTGCCAGGCTTCAATCCTTTAGCCAAAAAACACATTTAAACAAACACACGAGAGTCCAGACAAAGCAGAAACATTTTGCTTGTGAGCACTGTGGACAAAGGTTTCACCAAAAGACTAATTTAACCACACACATGAGAGTCCACACAGGAGAGAAGCCTTTTGTCTGTGAGCTCTGTGGAACGAGATTTAGCCAAAAGTCAACTTTAAACCGACACATGAGCGTCCACACTGGAGAGAAGCCTTTCGCCTGTGAGCTCTGTGGTAATAGATTTAGTGAAAAGGGAAGTTTAAACAAACACATGAGCGTCCACACAGGAGAGAAGCCTTTTCCTTGTGAGATCTGTGGTAATAGATTTAGTGAAAAGGGAAGTTTAAACACACACATGAGCATCCACACAGGAGAGAAGCCCTTTCCTTGTGAGCTCTGTGGAACGAGATTTACCCAAAAGACACATTTAAACTGTCACATGAGAGTCCACACAGGAGATAAGCCCTTTCCTTGTGAGCTCTGTGGAACGAGATTTAGCCAAAAGACTAATTTAAACAATCACATGAAAGTCCACACAGGAGATAAGCCCTTTCCTTGTGAGCTCTGTGGAATGGGATTTAGCCAAAAGACACATTTAAACACACACATGAGAGTCCACACAGGACAGAAGCCTTTTGCTTGTGAGCTCTGTGGTAATAGATTTAGTGAAAAGGGAAGTTTAAACAAACACATGAGAGTCCACACTGGAGAGAAGCCTTTCGCCTGTGAGCTCTGTGGTAATAGATTTAGTGAAAAGGGAAGTTTAAACAAACACATGAGAGTCCACACTGGAGAGAAGCCTTTCGCCTGTGAGCTCTGTGGTAATAGATTTAGTGAAAAGGAAAATTTAAACAAACACATGAGAGTCCACACTGGAGAGAAGCCTTTCGCCTGTGAGCTCTGTGGTAATAGATTTAGTGAAAAGGGAAGTTTAAACAAACACATGAATGTCCACACAGGAGAGAAGCCCTTTCCTTGTGAGCTTTGTGGAAAGAAATTTAGCTTAAAGACAAATTTAAACAAACACATGAGAGTCCACACTGGACAGAAGCCTTTTGCTTGTGAGCTCTGTGGTAATAGATTTAGTGAAAAGGGAAATTTAAACACACACATGAGAGTCCACACTGGAGAGAAGCCTTTCGCCTGTGAGCTCTGTGGTAATAGATTTAGTGAAAAGGGAAGTTTAAACACACACATGAGAGTCCACACTGGAGAGAAGCCTTTCGCCTGTGAGCTCTGTGGTAATAGATTTAGTGAAAAGGGAAGTTTAAACAAACACTTGAAAGTCCACACAGGAGAGAAGCCCTTTCCTTGTGAGCTTTGTGGAAAGAAATTTAGCTTAAAGACAAATTTAAACAAACACATGAGAGTCCACACTGGCTTTTCGCCTGTGAGTTCGGTGGAAAAGATTTACCCGAAAGATCAGTTTAAACGGTCACAAAAGAGTCCATAAAGGACAGAAGCCTTTTGCTTGTGAGCTCTGTGGACGAAGATTTCGCCGAAAGAAAACTTTAAACCATCATCTAAGCATCCACTAGGGCTGAACGATCTATTGCAGGGTCTCCAACATTTTTTGGCCCGTGAGCTACTTTTACACAATGAAAGTACAGCAGAGTTAATGCCATATGATTTATTTACATTGATACTTTCCATGTGTGAATGTGCTTATGATAAACATGCTATACTTACTATATTTACATGCATTGTACTCACAAGTTGATTTCTCTGTATTTCAGTACATCAGTATATATATTTTAAAAGTATAAGTAAACCAGTGACATTCTGAAAACCAAATTAAACAAAACATATTTAGTTTTTTAAACTAATCGGATACTTTCAGATAATGAATAACAAATCTACTTCATGTGAATGATTTGGTAATTTTTTTAGAAGGTTAGTAACATAATTTTTTAAGCACACAGTAACAGCTAACCTGTAAAACTGATGATATTTTAAATAAAATACAAGCTAAATGTGATGAAAACACAAAAGTCTAAATAGTTTGAATTAAAGTAAAAGATGTAAAATCAGAAATAAGAATTGTTCCTGCTCTCCTGATTTATTGAATAATTTTTGTGGGTTTTTTTTTTTTTTTTTGGTCATGAAAGTAAAGTTTTGCTGCGTTTATTGCTGACAATATTAAGGTTGGAGGTTTATCCTTTTTTTCTGCATCTTGTAGGGTTTTTTCTCCGCAGGTCTGAAGGCTGTGCGTTACACAGAGCAGAGAGACAGAGAGCAAGAGACCAGAACCAATAGAAATGATCACACCAATCTTAAAATATTTACATTGGCTTTCAGTAACTTACAGGATTGATTTCTAAGACCCTTTACTTACTTTTAAATCATTAAATGGCCAACGACCTCTGTATATAGCAGAGATGTTTGAAATGTATCACCCTTTAAAATCACTTAGGTCAGCGGATAAATCCAAACTGGTACAACCCAGAGCCCGCACCAAGCACGGAGAGGCTGCCTTTAGCTGCTATGCGGTCCGTCTCTGGAACTGTCTTCCAATAGATATTAAGACCTCTCCCACCATTTCCATTTTAAAATCCAGATTAAAAACAACTTTTTCATGATGCCTTCCATTAGGGCTGCTCGATTATGGCAAAAATAATAATCACGATTATTGTGACTGAAATTGAGATCTCGATTATATAGGACAATTTTTCAATTTATGTTGATTTTATTAGTTTTTATTCAGTCATAAAATTGCTCAGGGCACAATCAGGACAAAAATAAGAAACAAGATGATCACTAAAATAACTCCTGATTCCCAGTATAAAAAGACCAATATACTTATAGCTCATAGTTTATGACCCAAGGGCTGTAGACCTTGGTTTAACTCATTTAAGTCTAACCAGTACAGACCCAAGTACCAATATCTTGCAAATACTGACAACATGAATTATACAGTGGCATTTATAACAAATAAATGTAAATAAATTGATGTTCACAAAATGTTACGTAACATTTATTTAGTCGTGTCAAGGTGCTGTAGGAGCGTGCACTAGCACTGTGTCCTCAGAGAGATTAGTCATTATTTATCAGCGTGAGGAACTTATTTCTATCTTATTTATAAACTATTTATTTACAAGTCCATCAGTTAATGTAATAATTGTCCCAACCACAGCTGCACCCCCCCACCCCCCAACCCGGTCTCACAGCAATCGGGGCAAGCTGCACGTGTGTTAAGCACGCCGCACATGCACATTTAGCCGTTTTTAGTGGCTCAGGAGTCCGCAGGTGCGGTGTGTGTGTCATTCACTCTGGTTAATCCAACAAGGAGCCGGCTCCGAGAGCTGTATTTAGTGACCGACACATCACTGCATCATTCCCTTTCCTAATGTCCCGAAGAACGGTCGGGAGAGCAGGCGGAGTGTTTAGCTAACCTGCAGGAAATGTTGACGACAGTTATCCAGAACGTAGCTAAGGGTTACCAGAGATGTTTCTGAGGTGTTCACTAGGTACTTTTAAGTTAAAAAGTCAAGAAGGGGGTCTGAAAAGCTGCTAGAAATGGCGTCAAAGTCGCTAGGGAGGAGCAAATAATCGGCTTGTTTTGTTTTTTATAATCGTTCAAAACTCAGATCGTAATCGTGATTAAAATTCGATTAATTGAGCAGCCCTACCTTCCATTAACATATCCTTGCATCTGTGCTCTACTAGGTCTTTATCTGTACTGTTGAATTTATTCTATATGTATTTTATATTTATACCTATTCTGTGCTGTTTTATTGTGTATTATTGTGTAATTAAAGCTATTACTTGTAATAAAGTGTAGTTACTGTGTAAAGCAGTATTTACTAGGAATGGTTAATAAAAATAAACACTAGAATTGAACCTGAGTTACATGGTAATAACAGTTTAAGAACTCAGAAACAACAATACACTAACTTACTAAGAAATTACCATGTAAGTACTAAGTAATTAGAGGACTGTAAAAGAAAGTACTACCAATAATTATACTTAATATGCTTTTATGTTTGTGTGCTATGATCTGTGTCAATATTCTTTGATTTTATTTTACACAACATGATGTGACATTTTAACTATTTCATTTCACTTGTGATTGTTTTAACTATGTGAAGCACATTGGGCTACCGTTTTGTGTATGAAATGGGCTATATAATAAACTTGACTTGAGAGAGAGTTCACAATCATGTTTTGTTACTAAATGAGACACTCAGCTGAAACTGGGGGAAATATATGATGAATCTAAATCACAGGAGATGTCCAGAGTTTTTAAAGCTCGTGTTCATCATGTTGTGGGGACCACAAAGAGGCTACACTCACACCCAGTTCTTGGGACCACATACGTATATATTGACTTGGGACTGTTTGTATGTAAATATTGTTGACTGCTTGGCCGCTTGATCAGAACCAGAAACGTATGTGTAACAGACCATCTGGGTGTTCAAGGGGCCTTTTCCACCACAGCACCGAGATCACCACGTAGAGCTCCAGTAAAATGTGTTCAGACTGTGGAGCGCACGTTTAACGAAGCTTCGAATCAGTAAAAAAATGAATCGAGGAACTTAATGAATCGAACCATTTGACGTCACTAGGATTGAGATATAGGGGGGGCTTAGCCCCAGGAGCTTGACCTCGAACGTTTTTTGTCACACCCTGCAAAAACTTTGTCAATTAATTCATTATCTGAAGAAAATCTAACAAAACCTATTATTTTATCACTTTCCTTTCCTTTCCTACTTTTGTGCATTTTCTCTCTTCTTTTTATAAAAAATAACACTTAATCAGTTAATTAGTGGGGTCTATGTTGAAGAAAGATTTTATGTAAGTCCATTAAAAATTTGATATGTTATATTTCCAAATAAAGCTATTCATTTCAGTCTACTGCACTTAACAGGGGGAAATGTTGTAGTCATTTATTTAATTTGTTTAATTACAACTTGTTTAATTATAAATGTTACTGAAATGTGACAATAAAGAACAAATGAATAATTGTCAAACTTATTCTGCCAAATGAGTGTGCAGTTGACAGTTTTAATATATGAATAACACTGCTATGATATGGAATAAAGGAGTATATAATTAACTATTACAAGACAAAATAACAGTATATATGAAAATATCCAGCAAGTAGTAGAACTTATAATACAGAAAGTCAACTATACAGATACAACTTGACATAAAGGTTGCAGGTCAGATGATAATTATAGTTTTTTTTTTCTCAAGTTCTCTTACCTGTTCACTCCTAAATAGAAAACTGTTCAATTTTGCTTGGGAACTTTGTGCTCAGGTAAATGCTCATAACGATGCACTCGCCCCGGTTTTCTCTGTAGATCACTGACCTTGACCATGCAGATCTCCTCAGCATCAACCACCTGGTCTCTCTCCTGTTCCTCACTCACTCTCTTAAAAAATCTTCGTATATCCATCTAGCCAACACATTGAAAAACATTTTCAATTTCTAATGCCAAGACAAATGCTACTATGCCATTTAGTTTTCACTCACAATAACTGAAACAGCCATTGGTGGATAGATGGTACAGAATATGGACAACTGTTAGCCTAATATAGCCTATGTTTGGTTGCTCATGATGATGGCATTTTCCATAACGTCACATTAAGCTGCCAAAATTTATGTTAAAGTTAGATGAGTACAATATCTCCTTTCTCTACCATAGGTAAACATAGGAAATATTAAGCAACTGACAACCCACATGGAAAGAATGCATATAAACATATAGGTTTTAATATATGTTTTGATGTAGCTTTTGAATATATGTGACATTATAAAACTGGCTGTTTACTATATTATAGATACATATATGTACCTATAGTATAATATATATATTATAGAAAAAATATATAATATAGAAAAATGGTCAGTAATATACACATTCGGCCATATTCTGATTCAGGTTTTTAGTGTGGAGTGATTTTTGTGCCACCAACTGGAGCGTGCAGTGATCAATCTGCAAGAGCACAACCTGCTCTGCAGTCATATGCGGCCCTCTCTCTGCATGCTCAACTCCGTCTCTGCCTGCACAAATCTCCCTGTTGTTGCTCAGTTTGCAATTTACAAAGCAATGTAGCCTCTCCGTCAGCCAATCAGACAGCTCTCCATTATGCAATCAAAGCATGTCCAGGAAATACTGCCAGGAAAATTGCACTTTTTTCAGATAAAGAGGACTTTATATAATTATATTTAATTAGGTTGATTAACCCTCCTCTTTTCCTGGGACATTTCCACTGTTCACTTCCTTTTACACATCAAGGGCTCATTTACGTCTAACCAAACAGAGAAGAAACACTTTATATGTTGAAATTAAAAGTCCTCTTTAACTGAAAATAGTGCAATTTAACAGTTTTAGGAATGGGCAATGTGTCTTTTCTGGAAGTCAAATATGGTCACCCTAATCATGACACATGAATTACAACAAAGTATCTTGCAGGCAGTGGATGGTGACTGGTAGCTAACCAGTAGCAGAAAGCAGTTCAGTAAGCTGTTAAATGGGTGTTTTTCTGTAAAGCAGTGTTTCCTGGACATGCTTTGATTGGATAAAAGAGAGCTGTCTGTGATTGACTGTTGGAGAGGCTACTTGTTGAGGAGAGCAGGGAGAGATTTGCATCGCAGAGAGAGTTGAGCACACAGAGGGCTGCAGCTCCTGCACACAAGCGCAGAGCAGTTTCTGTTTGTGCAGACTCATTACTGTACGCTCAAGTTGGTGGCACTAAGTCACTCAATGAACTGGCTGGCTCGTTAATCACGTCACTTCAGGGGAGTTTTCCGACCATTTAACTATGGCGCGGCTTTTCATTATGGTTTGCGGCATGTAAACATGCTAGCGGAGTTAGCATTAGCATGTCGGTGCGGTAACATTTTCCTCTCTCGTCTGAACTATAACCTTGAAATATTAACGGTGTGCTGCTGTTGCTGTCTTACCCTAATGTGATGTTGAGTGACTTACAAGAGCGCTGAGCAGGGTTTGCTCATCGATATAAAGGTTTTGCTGTATAACCCCTGCCCCTGACTTGTCAACAAAGCTGCCGGGCTTAAGGGGAGGAAGTCCTTTCTTGATACTTCCTGTGTGCGACGGTGTAGTTCTATATTCATTAATTATTATTTCTGTTTCAGACTAAAAAAAAAAACTCATGTGCCAACTACACGTGTCGTGATTGTGTTGAGCATGTAGATGTGAACAAATAAAAAAAAGTTAACTGAAAAAATAAAATAAACCAAAATGATAGGGGGGCTTGTGATTATTTTAGGGGGGCTGAAGCCCCCCTAAAACGGACCTAACGACGTCAGCGGTTTCAGCCCTACTTCCTTTCAACGCTTTAACAACTCTTTAACTGTCACTGGCATGTTTTTACTGTGTGGCGTCGGAACGAGCCCCCGCACCGTGAGAACAAACATCCCAGCTCTAAAGCCGATCTTCATCCGCGTACGTCACACGTCACGTGATCAGGAAGCAGAAAGTCTACGTGTTAGATCAGGGGAGTCAAACTCAAACTTATGGTGTCAGGTTTCCGCCAAAACCCGTGCAAGCGTAGCCAAAACCTGTGCACGCGTATTGTCCACATCGCGCGTGCGAACGGGACTCGCGCGTGGAGGTTAGAACCTCATGAGTGAAAATATACATGGCGAGGAGGTCATTTGTACACTGAGAGGGAGCAAACTGTGTCTGTGAGCGCACAAGGATGTGCACAAGTGACAAACCTGCGTGCGCGCGTTGGCCAACGAGCACACGGCAGAGGAAAACATGCACGCGGCAGCCTCACTGCGCGCTCGGTGCGGCAGCCTCACTGCGCGTGTGGCAGCCTTTCTGCGCGCTCGGTTTCTGATTCTGCTCACTCGGCTGTTGGGAGTTTTGGCACTCTGGAGGAATGGAAGAATTAAAGTGTCAGAAACTGAGCAGTTTAACTTTCAATTTGAGAGCAGAATTTCATATCAAGAGACCATCTTTTTAATTTCAGAATATGATTTTATATTATTGCTCTCAAAACTTGAAATGCTTGCGCTCAAAATGTCTGCTCTCTTTCAAATTCACTCTGTTCTCCTTCAAATCTTTGTTTTTGCGCTCAGATTTAACCTTCTTACACTGGTATTGTCTTCTCATGTGACAACTTTTTCTCTGCACGGATCAAAACTCCTCCCACAAGTCTGTCCCCTGCTCTCACGGATCTTGTCTGCTCTCGCTCAAAACTTAGAAGTACAATCTCCTAGCAACCGCTCAGCCAATAGAAAGACTTGTGGGACTGGGCGGGAACAAACCTCTTTGGGGTGCGCTCGTTTTGCCCTCTGTGGATTTTCCTGTGTGGCTGCCGCATCTGCGCACTAACAGCCTGGCTAATACCCGCCCTGATCTGGAGCGATAGTTTCACCTGCACCAGCAAAATGGACCAGAACCAACAAGACGCTCAAGTAAGTTATTTTTCACGGCTACTAGCTGCAGTTTATTCCATAAAATTGTTTTGTTATGCTACTTTTTACGACTCCTCGCATTTAATATTGCAACAGGGGCACAGCTAGGTGGATTAGGTTATTCACTATAGCTACAACTTTCATAAAATGTTCTCAGCAGATTTGAGTTTTACCCTAACATATCACTCGTCCCCAATGCTAGCTCTGGACCTAGTGTAGATGTTTTTTGTTTAGTATTCCCACCTTTGTTTTTAATAGTTAGCTCTTTGGACATTACAGTAGTTATTCGTTAGCGTTTACTCCATGAACATTGTTTCCTCATCTAACTGCTAACTATCAAAATGTGTTTCATCCATCGACATAAATATATCACAATGTTTCATCACAATGTTTTTCTCACGCTGTAATGAACAAAATGGGTAATCAAAGTAAGAGAATGTTATTAAAAAGTAGAACTCGTTATAATTGAACGATGGAAAATTTTGACCAAAGCCGTAGGAGAAAACCGTTTTTGATAGGGAAACACATTTTGACACAACACCTGCCCTGACTGGCGCATCAGCTAGCTTTCAATCTGTTGGTAGGTTTCTGAAAATATTAATGCTATGTTAAGTGAGTGTAATCCAGTAGTCATTTCCCCAACAAAATAACAATTTTTATTTTTGCTCAATTCCTGCCTCCTGCCATTTCATTTTGCCTTCGCATTATTTATTTTTGTAATCCTGTCAAACCTAGCCGCTGGTCATTAAAAAATAATGAGCCTAACTTACTAATACTGAGTCTGGGGTTACATAAGCAGTAACAAAACAAAAACAGTTTCTGTTTCTAAGTCTCAGCAATGAGTAAGGTTGTATTTCTGGTGTAAGCGAACTAACATTTGTTTTCTGTGAAATGCGCGAAATGTTGTATTACACCGTCTGTGGTACCATGATGCAGCACAATTCACTGTTGCATGTTAAACCACAGAAGATGTAGAGGAAAATGAATGTAATGGCTGAGGTGGAGGACATGTAATGACACCAGAAAATAAGAAAATGTGTAAAAGCTTTATTAAAAGTGTAGTCCTGAAATTCTCATGGTAATCCAGGGAAGCAGGTTGGTGCATGGTCAGGGAACAGGCGTGGGTCAGGGCCAGATAAACAGCAGGTTCCATCCCAGCTCCAACCAGAGAGTGCTGCTGTTGTGTCCTTGGGCAAGACACTTAACCAACTTTGCCTGCTGTTGGTGGTCGGAGGGACCGGCGGTGCCAGTGTTCAGCAGGCCCGCCTCTGTCAGTGTGCCCCAGGGCAGCTGTAGCTACTATCTGGCTTATCACCGCCGTAAGCATGTGAAAAAGGTGTGGCTGTTGTTTAAAGTGCTTTGTAGGCCTTGGACTTGATAAATTTTGTTACAAGCCATCTTCCCAATCTAGCTGACTCTTCAATAAACACTACGTCTCAGGGTTGACTTGTATTTCTATTTGTGCGTGAGCGTGACTCCAGTCTGAGCTTTCACACTACTGTGAGCTGATCAGCGATCATCTTTACCTAGATTTAGACTCTGGCAAACATATTTAGCAGCACAAAGGAAG